GACCCTGCCATAGGTCCCCAGGTCAGGAACTGGCAGAGACTGGCTTTACTCCCAGGTTCCCTCTGACTCCAGTCCGTTAGGCCGGGTTCTCTTATTTGTATAGGTTCTTAAACTACAGGAATGACAGATTCTTAAGCACACGGTGTCCAGGGTTAGCAGGAAAGGGAGAGTCCAGGAGGTCCGAGCCTGGGCTTGGGGCTGCAGACTTCACTCTGCTCTCAGGCCCATGATTCACCTAGGCAGCCTCTCAGATGAGGGAGGGGACACAGGAGGGGTGACAGGATGGCAGACGCTCACCGCTGGTCCTCTGTCCACCAACAGGTTACTGCTCCCCATCGCCGGCAGCCATGAGGTCCCGGCTACTGGTTCCTGTGGCCCACCTGCCCACGATTCGGGAGACCTCGGAAGAGATGCCGCCCGGGGGGCCTGGGCAGGAACCCCTGGCCTCCCCCAGCCTGGATGACTATGTGAAGTCCATTTGTCAGCTGGCACAGCCCACTTCAGTGCTGGACGCGGCCACAGCCAGAGCCCAACTTGGCAGACCGCCCCAGCCAGCCCAGGCCTTCGAGACGAACTGCCCTACTGAGTCCCTACGGGACATCACTACCCGCTTCATTGGCCAGCAGCCTGCACCGCCCAGGGATGGTGCTGCTGACCCCTTGGACTGGCTGTATGGGGAGTCCCAGGAAAAGCAGCCAAGTAGGAGGGACCCACCGAGGCGGACTGGCTCCTCTGCTGACCCCTGGGGTCCACAGAGACAGATGGATGGTGGCAAGGCCCGAGGGACCCCCGGAGGGAGACTCTGTGACTCCAGGGTGCAGGGGCACTCTCTGGCAAGGCCCTCAAGGGACCGGCACCAAGGCTCCTGGCCTTCCAAGCCACTCTGTGGGACCGCAGCCTCCCCCCCACCCCCCCGCCACGGCAGCACCCTCAGAACTCTCTATTTGCACCTCCCGGTGATCCATGAACTCTGACCCCTCCCAATAAAGGCTTCTATATAGAGCACGCTGGTCTGTGTCACCTTCTGGCCCTCTTCCCCTGCGGTGGGCGCTGTCCCCAGCAGGTCTCTGAGAGGGAGACACCTTTCTGCAGGGGCTGCCTGCCTTGGCATTTCATAGCGAGACCCCCTCCTCTGAAGAGTGAGAACAGCCTATCTGGCATGATGTGGTATTACTGACCCCGCTCGCACTGTTCCTTGCTGGATGACCACCTTGGGCAAGTGACTTAATGTTTCCGTTCATTGGTTTTCTCATGGGTAAAATGGGGTAATTAAAAGGACCTGTTTCCTCGGCTGTTTCTGATGAGTAAGTGGGATAAAACCCACATGCGTCATGGGGGGGGGTGTTGTAAGCTCATACTCGGAGTAGCTGCTGTCTATGCGGTGGCTTCCGGGGTCGGTGGCAGGTAAGAAGCAAAGGTCTCAGCCCCACGGTGATTTCAGAGCGAAGCCCTGGGCACTCCAGAGTCAGCCTCCGGGCTCCCACCCTCAGAGCCTGTGCTCCATGTGGCCCAAGAGAAAACAGCATTTCCCCAAATGTGCCCGCTCGGGTTTGGGGGGAACTTATCACCAGGGTACCTGGGGGTACCTCAGTGGCTCCAGCTCACAAGTCCTGTTGTGTCATTGGGGGTGTGTTGTCCATGCTGAGGGCTGAGACAGAACCTGCACCAGCTCAGCTTGCAGACCAGGTGGCTCTGTCCTCACTGTCCCCATCCCTCCCTCCACCCAGGGGGCTTCTCAGCTGTGGGGCCAAAGTGCAGGCTGTTGTCCAGAGCCCTGCTCTTCGGCAGGTCTGGGGGCCAGGGCCTCGCTTCACATGACCTAAGGTCTGGGCCAGCCCTGGGTCCTCCAGCCTGGAGGCGTCTGGCAAGGAAGGAGGTGAGGGGGAGGAAAAGGGGAGAGGAAGGGTCTCCTTCCTCAGAGAGGCAGGTGAGGCATCAGAGAACTCAAAAGAATCAGGCCTGAGGACCCATTGCCTTGCTCCCTTGGGCCAGGTCAGAACTGGCTGACCCTGGTCAGTGCTCAAGGGACAGAGGGGAGAGGAGGAGGGCATTGCTGGGGCCACATTCAAGTTCACAGCCTGCTTCAGTGTCCTTTTCTTCCTTTCTTCTTCCATTCCTACTTTTTTTTTTTTCTGTTTTAAAATTGCTTTTCACTTTAAAAATGTTTATCTGCCCTCTTTTTGAAACATTTAAAGAAGTTTATTTATTTTGAGAGCGAGAGAGACGGAGAGCGAATGAACAATCAGGAGCAGGGGAGGAGCAGAGAGAGGGAGAGAGAGAGAGAGAGAGAGAGAGAGAGAGAGAGAGAGAATCCCAAGCAGGCTCCCTGCCATCAGCACAGAGCTCGACATGGGGCTCAATCTCACAAACTGTGGGATCATGACCTGAGCCGAAACCAAGAGTCAGATGCCCAACCGACTGAGCCACCCGGTGTCCCTATCTGCCCTCTTTTATGTGTGTTGAGTGGGGAGGCAGAATGTAAACCATACATTGAAAAGTTTCAGACAAGTAATTTACTCAGTTTCCTTATCTGTAAGATGCGGACACCAACCCTGCCCTCCACACCCCACAGGGTTGGGAAATGGGGCACGTACTCTTGGAGATGGAGTTAGAAACAACATATACGAATGCCTGCATCTGCCACAACCTGCTGGGCCCTGACCTTCGCTGGCAAATAAGCGTGGGGCAGCCTTCAGCCAGAACAGCCTTAGGAGGCGGCGGGGAGGGCTGACCTGGGAGTGGGTGCTGGCTGGTGCCCACAGGGGCTGGGCTTGCCTCGCTGTAGCCCCTTCTACGAAGCTGTGTGAACCAGGGTCAGAGGGAGGCAACTAAGGAGGAGTGAGGTTGGCCAATTCTCCCCAAGCTCAAAACCACGTGGCTGCATTTGGGACATCAGACAGGGCTCTGGCTCCTCTGCTAATATGTACTGAGATGAAAGAAGCTAATGGTATCTTCAGAAGGTGTCCCCCCACCCCCCGCCAAAAAAAGAATAAAGGGTAGGGGGAAGGGGTTTCTGGCATTATTCCAAGCTTCCCATGAGACACAACAGCCTAGGAGAGAGACCCTGTGATGGGGGTCCTATGGAGAAGTCTCTTCCCCACAGCCACCACTGGAGTGGGAAAGGACACAATGACCTGACCAGGGGGCAGCCTGGCAAGCGCTTTGGAGCTCTCAAGGGAACGCGTCCATGGCCGAGTACTCACCCCAGGTGCCAGTGGTCTGTCAACTGCCTGTCATTTCTGCCTCCAGGCCTTAGAGGAAGGGGGGGTCATTTTAAGAGGGAAGGGGATCCTGACTTTCCCCACCCTGGGAGAGACAGAGACCCTGAGCCCAGGCATGCTCCTCCCCTTTCTTCCCCTGCCCAGGAGCCTGGCGCCAAGGATGGGGACTGGGTGTTGTGCGTGCTCACGGCCACCAGGGGGAGCATCAGAGGCGGGCTCCCTGAGGGGGCCACACCCCCCTGCACGACATAAGGGTCCTGCTTTTCATTACAGTGATATATTTACCCACTGGTATTTCCAAGTGGTCCATTTTTCTCTCAAGAAGCCACCCAGCCTGGTTAAAATGCTTTGCTATCTTTCAAAAGGCACAGATGGCTCCAGGTTGCTCAAGCTCTTCATTGTAATACAAGCAAAAGTATCCAAAAGCAAAGCTTATAATACAATAGAGGAAGCGGGTGCCTGGGCCTCCTGAGTGGGGATTCCTTTGCCCTTTGGAAGCTGGGGCAGAGTTCACAGGGAAACACTTGCCCTAGGGCGTGGCCCCTGTTCCTTGACACACTTCATCTCTCCAAGGGCTCTGGACTCCCGAGGAGACGGTGGGTGGCGGAGGGGGTGTCCCCAAACTGTGGCAGTCAGGCCACAGTTGCTCTGGGGGAAACCTAGTGACAATGGGTGGGGGGGGGGGGGAGGTCTCTTCTGGGCCCCACATGACTCTGTGAGGGCGCAGCCTGTGCTGAGCCCCTTGGTAGCTGGAAGGCCCCTTGGCTTGCTGATTGAAGGTGACAAGCAGCTGCCTGCATCCCCGAGGCCCCTCAAAGCTTAATGCTGGTAATGCTGTTGCTGTGTTACAAATTCGGCGCCCACGCCTTGCAGCCACGCTGGCACCTTCCACTTACTGCAGTGTTTACCTTGCTGGAGACTTCAACTCTGAAGGCCTCAATCTCTTTGTCTGGAAAATGGCCATTCTGATGTCACAAAGCTCTTGTATGGTGAGAAACGAGTCGGAGGCAAAGTGCCTGGTGCCTGTCTGCCCCACCCCTGAGGAGAAGCCGGCCTGGGCTGGCCCCACAGTGCAAGTGCCTGCAACTGGGAATTCTCCGAGGTCTAGGAGGTCCCGGGGCTGCATTCGGAGACACCGCGGAGGCCTGAACGCCGGGTGGTGGGTGGGTCACTAGGCCCTTGGTGTCCAGGAACCAGTCATGCATTTCAGCATCACAACTCGGTGCTGCCCAGGCCTACAGCCCGTCTCTATAGTGGCGATCACCTCCCGAAGACACATACTCCCTCAGGCTGGCATCCCCTTGATGGCTAAGGCTGTGGAAGTTTCCTGCCAGGTAGTTTCTGGCTCCGGGGAGATCAAGTCAGGTCCTCATACCTTTTTTAGGTTAGGAACATGAAAATCCCCAACTGTGGGGCGTTAACTTCTTACCACCGGGGCCCGTTGAGAATACCTCTTCCCCTTTTTGGGTCTCTCACTTTTCCCTGTGGCCTGTCCCATCACACACAAACACAGGGCACAGGTTTGGGGCTTCCCAGCCCTGCTCCCCACACAACTGCTCCTACAGAGGGGACTGTCTTGGGGAATCCCAAGAGTCAAGACCAAAGTCTAAGAGTAGCAGTTCTCAAACTTGGCCTTCATCGCAATCCCCTGGAGGGCTTGTTAAAACACAGCTGGGAAGATAAAGAGTTTCTGAGTCAGGAGGCCTGGGGGAAGGAGGGTGATAAGACTTTGCATTTCTAGCCAGTTCCCAGGTGACTTTGAGGCTGCTGAGCAGAAACCACCTGTTGAGAGCTGCTGGGTCTTACGTCAATCACTGAATGGCCCAGGGCTAAGAAGCAGGGTGCAGCCAGAAGACCCCATCGCATGCCTCCAGCACAAGGACTGATGTGGGTCCAACTCCTCGCTTAGCATAGATTAAACTGTCCAGCACACTGGAGCTCGGGACTCATCTCAGCTTGCCCTGGGCCTGCACTTGCCGGTTAGTCACCCAGCATCTGTGCGCAGGTGCTACACCGTGCCTGGCCGGGGGACACGAAGCCGGGCGGCAAGAAAAGAAACAGCAAAAGCAGAGATAGCAGGGCGGTGGCATCAGAGCCCTTCCAGCAGCAGTACAGAGCAGGGTAAGTGGCCGATAAGACGCGTATCAGAGAGGCTGCTCTGCAGAAAGAAAAGCGGGAGCGAAGGAACAGTGCAGAGGGGCTGGGAGACAAGCTGTCAGGGTTGGCCCCAGGCCCTGTGCAGGGCGGCGGGTCCAGGGGAGGTGGCGTGCGAGGTTGGCGCAATTCCAGGTCACACTACTGGCAGGCCAGTGCTGCCTGGACCAGGAGCCAGCTGCTTCCCTCCCCTCCAGGCTCCGGAGCTGTGTGACAGTAGCCTGGCCTGGGCTGCATTTCACTTACGGACGTGTTTTGTTTAGCCCGCTTGGTGTTTCGAGGTTTGGGAAATTGCACATGAAATTCCAGATGTCTAACTCCTCTGGCTCCCTGGAGCCCATCTTCCTGCACAGCAGCAATGGGTTCGGTCCGCAGGGCGACAGCGTCTGCAGATAGCACGTGCTCTCTCAAGTCCCCCACTCCCCACGCCTGCCCTGTCTCTCCCGTTCTGACCTGCCCAGCCACGTGAGCACCTTTTGGGGAGCTCTCCTCCATTTCAAGCCTTCTCTGATGTCTATTCTGATTGGCAACCACAGAGACTGCTCCCACTTCTTGACTGCCCTGTGAACTTGGGCAAACCCGAGCCCTGTGCTGAGGTCCTTATTTGTGCTGTGGGCTGGGCACAGAAGGGACTGGCTGTGCGGTCTTAAAGATTTTAGTCTCCAGGGTCCTGGCAGTTCACGTAGGCAAAAATCTCAGGTGGAAGGAGAAGAACTGCAGGTGATTATTTCCGTCTGCTCTGAACTCTTGCTGGGGGAGGGAGAGGGAGGGGACGCTCTGACCCTCAGCACCCCTTACGGGACGTCCGGGAGAGAGAGCTGGTAACCTGGTCTCTAACTCAGAAGATGGGCGGCCTCATACTTCATTATCCTAACTGGGACACTTCTCAGAGTGAAGGGAAAGGTCTTAATAATGACCCTGGAATAGCAGGTATAAACCAGGACTGTCTTCAACAATCCAAGATAAACGGTGACCTATGAATAAAGAAGAGAAACTGGCCTTACCTCTCGGTGTCTCAGCTGAAAGCTTCTGCCCTCGTGGTAGCAGTTGTAAGTTTTTAGCAAGCTTAAGAGCTCCGACCTAAAAAGGTAAACACACATATAATCTTGGGGCGTGGCAGGGCTTTGGGACGTGATGATACAGGTCTCGCCAGCCACACATAATCAGTTTAGAGACTAGACTCTGCCATCAGACACATGCCTTTTAGTCTTTTAGAGGTTTCCACATGACAGACCTTGTGTAAGGTGTCGGGCTGGGAAGAGAAGGAAGTGAGCTCACAGACGGCCCATAGAATTGTGCAAATGGTGTTTGCATGCTTTCACTATCACAGATAAGAGTTCCCGAAAATCTCCTTGTACTTTACTTCTGAGTCATTTCCTCAATAAATCCCCTGGGATTGGATTATTGGCATTTTAAAGACTCCTGCTTCCCCCTCGCCCCCCCTCCCTCCCACCAATATTACTTCCTGTGAGTGCCTGGTGTGGCTGCTCTGGGGGCATCATGAGGGGTGTCTACCTCTTCCTCATCCTGGCTTTCTGGAGGTCTGACCAAGAGGTGAAGGTGACAGCTGTGAGATAAGATCCCGAAGGTCTGAGGGAGGCCACTCTGCCCAAACGCCTTCTCCCCAGAATAAAGGGAAGCCTTAGCGGATAGAAGCCGGTCCCTGCGCCCAAGCTGGGCTCTGCCAGGGAGTGCAGTCCAACAGATAAGAAATGCAAGGCACGCGTGTGCTTTTAACCCTTCTAGCGGTCACATCACGAAGGAAAACAAAACAGGTGAAATTAATTTTCATAATGCATTTTATTTTATGACACAATATATCTAAAATATTTTCATGTCCACATGTAATCAATATGAACATGATGAATGAGACCTTGTTCATTATTTTATTTTGTAATAAGTGTTTGCCACCTGTATTTGGTATTAATATAAGAACGTTTTACATAAACGTTATTAACGAGATCTTGTTCATTATTGTATTTCGTAATATGTCCTTGCCACCTGTCTTTTATATTAACTGTACTTCTCGGCCCATAAGTCACGTGCTTGGCGGCCACACGTGGAAGTCACTCCCCTGCTGGCCGGGGCCGCTTTAGAACCTCTCTGGGCAGTGCCTTCACTGACACTGGAGCACTCCAGGGAATGGATAAGCAAAACCCGCCGTTGGTGCTCTGGTGTGCTGCCTGATGTGGGGATGACGGTAACTGATGACGGAGGTGATTCACTTGTGGTTCAGTTAATGTTATGGCGTTAACATTGCAAGAGTCGATGCTGCATGTTCACTGTGCTTGTAGGTGTATCAATACTGAACATAAACTTATTAGGATTATACACATGAAATTAATCATGTTGTTATGGCTATTGTTATGACTTTCCCCAAAACTATATTGTTTTGAGAGAGAGAGAAAGAGAAACAGAGATAGAGAACGAGCAAGCAGGGGAGAGAGGCAGAGAGAGAGAGAGAGAATGAGAGAATCCTAAGCAGGCTCCACCATCCCGAGACCCTGGGATCATGACCTGAGTTGAAATCAAGAGTTAGCTGCTCAACCGACCGAGCCACCCAGGCGTACCTAATGTTATTCTCATTATAAAATTTAAACCGGGAATGTGAGAGTATGGGCAGCACTGTGAATGGGATGCTGTCTGTTTTCTCAGGTGTCTAACTGGAGGACCCAGGAAACAGCTCAGCGAAAGCTAGGAGGCTGGCTTTTCTTCAAGGAGGCAAATAGGAGCTGCCCAAATCTAGAAAATATTTCGACCCAGCACGCAAAAAGCAAGAGAAAATGAAAACTTAACGTTAGTTCAGAAATACATTTGAATAAATACTCCAAGCATTTTTTTTATGGTAAGACGGAGTAAATAAAATTGAAAATAAGCCAAGCTAAAAAATCATCATGTCAATAAAATATGCTTTTTTCAAGAACAACTCTAAACCTATTTTGAGGTTTTTTTTTTTTTTTCCCCAAACTGTTTGACACAATAAGAGTATTAGTATTGCTCTAGCTTTTGAATAAATTAAATGCCATCTGTGCAGAGTCACAGCGGACATGGCCATGCTTTCCTGCTTTTGCGGGCCTGAGGGGGCAGGGGTCAAACCCTCAACCCAAAGAGATCCTTGATCTCCAGGGCGCCAGGCTTCAAAAAGAAGTGCCCCCATCACTGTCCCTGGGGCAGGCACATCGTCCTATCTATGAAAATTGCCCAGAATCCCTCTACCCAAAGGCTGCCCATGGCAGGGAGTGACCACTAGACCCCCTCCCTGTACACAAAGGCTTACTTCAGGATGGACTTGCTGTCACTGATGGGAACATGAGAACTGGGTGGACAATCTTCCTTCATGTTCTCCTCTTGTCTGTAGCATCAGGGAGGCTACCTGCAGGGAAGAGGAGGAAGAGCATACAGACAGGTGAGCCGGAGAAGGAAGTGCTGGCCAGTGCAGTGCCCAGAGTCCTGTTGTGCAGGCCTTGTGGCTCCAGCCTCACCTCCCCCCTCCCACCCCGGGGCACAGGGTGGTCATAGCTCTGAAGGATCAGGCTCAGAGGACTTAATGGGGTCCCACACCCCACACGGGGCAGCCACGTTTCCCTCGGCGGGAGACAAGGTCAGAACTGCTGAGCTAGCTGGCACCCAGTACCAGCCCAACAGCCGCCCTCCCCGAACCTCTCCATAATCCCTAGGGATCTGGATCCGTCTCCTAAATGTTTCAGACCACAGGCTCTCTTGCCTCAGCTGGGACACCCTAAAAGATGGCTACTGCCTCCATCACTCCTCCAGCCCCCCAAAGCACCCTGGGCCTTTCTCCTTCATTCCCACTGAGCCCAGGCTGGTGGCCCTTTGGAACCAGCACACCTGGGCCAGCTCTCCTGGCGATGGGTTAGTCAGTACTGTGGTCACTACATGCTGGAGACCGTGTTGAGCATTTTCTATGAATTATCGTTTTTACTCCTTACAACAACGGTATAAGGTAAGTACTATCCTCGTACCATTTTATGGGCAAGAAAACAGGAACAGAAGTTAAGAACTTTGCCCAAGATTCCCAGTGAATCGGTGGCAAAGTCATTGTTTGAACATAAGCATTTAGATCCTAGATCCTGGTCACTAAAACCATCTCGCACAGTGACTTAGACCCTCCAGACTTCCTTTTCTTATCGATGCAATGGGGTAATCTCTATAAAGATTATAAGATTGCTAGTTGATTCACACATGAAACCGTGTATTCACAACCCAGAAGGCTTCACGGAGTTTCTTAAACCCTCCTGGGGAAATCCACTAGTGTTTTTTTTCTATCTTGTTGGCATCTTCTGCGCAGCTTTCTACTTCTTTCCCTCTCCAACTTACCCTGGCTGAGAGCTTTCTTATTGAGGCCCCCTGTGTGTCAGGCAGTGAGCCACAGTACCTCTCTCTCTCCCTATCCTAGTCATGGCCCTGTCTCTACCTCTCCTCTCAAGATGCAGCTAGGACTCTGAGGGGTTAAGTCACACTGGGAAGTGGCACAGACAGGGCGCACAGCCTGTCCTTCATATCACAGAGTGGCTCCTTCCCCAAACCCCAACATCTGTTCACACAAACCTGGCTCAGTCGGGTCTTCCCCACCTCTGTGTGTGTGCAAATGTTCCTGGGGGTTCGGGGTCAGGTTCAACTGCTGCTGTGTCAATGCCCTCAAAGTGGACAGGGTGCTCCGTCCCCTTGGGCCCTGACTCCCTAGCTGAACACACTCTCCTCCGACTTGTTTGATATCACCCACAAACAACACAGCCTTGCTTTCTGTGTTGGTGTGTCAGGCCTGAATGAGCATTCGATTCTGGAAGCAGGGGAACCAGGGAGAAGGGGAATGAATTGAGGGAGGTGGGCTTCTCAGTGACCTCAGAATCATCCTAAAAATACCTCCCTTCTCCCTGGGTCTAGAGAGAAGCAAAACAGGGTCTAGACAGAGGTCAGACCCTACCTCCATAGGGCACAGGGCAGGGCGCTATGGGGTTCTGGAGCGGGGGGCCTCACTGCTGGGCAATAGGATTTCAAAATCGGGTTTCGGTTCCTCAGCACCTCAGTCTCCAGTGGAAAAAACTGCTCTGCAAGGCTCCCTCTCTGAGGAGTTCCTCAAACGTTTCCATGCAGAGCTGGCTTCAGCCCAAGAAAAAAGTATCTGAGTTTCTCACTCAACACTGTTTCTGTGGGTCCCCGGCACAACTGTGTCTTGCTTTACACAGGCTCATTACTGGAAGGGAAGAGCTGGATTTACCCAGAAGTAACAGCAGGCGGTTTTCCCTCTGGCCTCCTCTGTAGCCAGCTTCTCTCCCACCCCTTCTCACTTCCTGCTCTCAGCTCGCCTACTCTGCTCTCTGCTTTGTTCTCCTTTTGGGTCTTGATGGAGCTCTTCTCTGTCCAGAAAACAGCCCACTGCTTGCCCTGTATTCTGCAAGCTAGCTCTGCCAGGAAACCCTTGCCAGAGTGGTCCCCTCCTCTAGTATCAGGAAAGCCTCCTCTCTAGTCCAGCACCTACCTGCTCTGGGCTCCTGGATGTTCTGGGCCCGCAGGGCCTGACCCATTGAGTGGGTGGCTGACAGGACGATGGGGGAGTACAAGTAGGGGAGGTGGGAGGGGAGGCTGAAGCCACAGACCTCCGCACCACGGATGATACTTTTCTGGCTCACCTCTTGTTTCCAGCCCTGAGCCCGAGCCCGACACACAGCAAGAGGCCCATAGATGTCTACTAAATTATTGGATGGATTTGAGAAGCCTCATGGGGTCCTCCAAAGTCAGCTTTCCCAGAGTTGTGCATCCCCAACTGGAATAAAACACGTAAAAGTCTCCAGGGGCTAGGAACGTGACTCAGCTGAGACGCTGGTCAGTGGAGTCCATGGGGAACAGGGAGACACGTTCCTTCTCTGGAGGGGCAGCTCTTCCGGCGTTTCATGAGAAGCCAGAAATCTGCATCTGTAAGGGCTATATTTCACTGTTTGGAGTTGGACACTGTGGCGGAGACATTGCCCCTGGGATGACCTGTGATCACTCACATTCCTTCACCACGCCCCCCCCCCCAGTGGCCATGTGACTAACATGCCACACGCCACACATAAGAGGTGTTGTGTGTGTCACTCTCAGACTAGTGCACTCAAGCCAGCCTGTGACCCCGTTCTTTGCCATGGTGATCCAGAAAGCCACATGTCCCGATTGGTGCAGCTTCCAGATGGTCAGCCTGGGTCCCGGAGCGCCTCTGCGGACTAGAGCTCTCTGCCAACCCACGGCGGATATGGACTGGGAAAGGGATTTAAATAAATCTAAGCTGCTGGTGTCTCAGGGATCTGTTACTGCAGCATAATCTACACTATCCTAAGGCCGTAAATTATTCAATTAAAACTATATAGTTAAGAATAAAATGTAGCTAGACAAAACATACTTGCAATACAGATGCCTTTAGCGGGGCTCTGGCGTGTGACTTCTGATTCATGACAGGACCCAGTTTACAATACTTTGATTCTCCTACAGCATGTGGGGACTATGCTGATTTTGCTCTATTTAGGAGGAATACTTATAAGTGAAATCTCTGTAAGTCAAGCAGTGATCAGTTACAGCTCGGGGCCAGGGGCTGCTAAAGACCCTCATGGCTCTAGCTTCCTGCCTTTTCCTCTCTGAGCCTTCATTTTCCCATCTGTACAATGGGGATATTGATCTCCAGCAGGTTAGACATTTTCTTAACTGTAGAAGACTTTTTTTTTAATTTTACTTTTTTTTATGATAATGTCAAGTTTAATCTGCCAAATATACAAGTGGGGCTTGTGGAGCATGTTCTCCCTGGGTGCCGCACAGGAAACAGAGGTGTCTTGAAATGATCAACGGGCAAGGTTAAGAATGGGCCCTGGCTCTGGCCAGAAGGGTGGGAATGGGGTCGGGAAGGGCAGAGAGGACTGGCTGGGGAGGAGCCGTGACCCTCAGGGACCCAGGGCCACAGGCTCCTGGACAACAGCCCCTCTGAGTGAGCCCCCAGGCAACACAGACCAGGGCTGCTTGTTGCAAACTCGTCAGCAGCCGCCCCTCCGCACAACCAGCCCCTACTGTGTAATCTACGGGACAAACGGAAGCTCTTCGTACCCTACCTCCCAGGCTTCCCCAACAAGAGTTCTGAATTCTTAAAACGGCAAAAACATTCAAATGGTTACGTAGGAAATGCTGTCCTGCACCCCACCATGCCCCGCCCCGTGATTTTTTTTTTTTACATTTTATTTATTTTTGATAGAGAGCACAAATGGGGGAGGGGCAAAGAGAGACGGAAATACAGAATCTGAAGCAGGCTCCAGGCTCCGAGCTGTCAGCACAGAGCCCCACGCGGGGCTCGAATCCACAAACCGCGAGATCATGACCTGAGATGAAGTCGGACGCTTAACTAACTGAGCCACCCAGGCGCCCCTCCGCCAAACGCTTTCTAGGCCAAGATGAAATGGAAGCCTGGTTCCACTGAACTTTGTTCACATGGAATATTTATGCAAATCAGATTAAAAGGGGCTGCTTGGGTTGACAGTGAGGTGGGTGGCCGGGACCCCCCATCCAGGGCTTTGCCTAGGGCTCTGTATAATATTATTTGCAAAGCACGGTACAAAGTAACACATGAAACCTTCCAAGCGCTGGCTTTCAGGAGAACTTTGCCCTCCAGAATCTGCTTTTTAAAAGGACATGACCAACAGGCTGAGCGGCTCTAGCCGGAGTCAGGTGGCATCAGCGGGGGGATGGGGTCAGGAGGAAAGTGGAGAAGGGTCCTGGATTATAGGTGGTCAAGTGAAGAAGGAAGGGGGAAGGCAGCCCATAAAGTAAATACCTTAGCTCGGCAGGAATGGAGAATGGGGTTGTACACTGT